TAATTGATTTTCTTTACATCCTTTGAAAGCATATCCTCCATAATGTTCATTTATAGATGTTGTATTCTCACAATCAACAACAACTTGGAAATACTGTAAAAACTCTGTGCAATCATCTTTATCCCATTTTCCATCAACTGATGTACATGTACAATCTTCTTTAACCTCATTCTTATCTCCACCATTGTATCCAAATCTTTTTGCTCCATTCTTTAATGTGCACATAACTTGGTTTGGATAATTTGGTCTCATAATTACATTTGAGTCTGTTGTTGTCAAAACATGACCTACATAATTTGATTGATAACGTGAAACGATAAACAATCTAATCTTCCCTGAAACACGTGCTTTGTTATAGTCCCAATAGTCAAATTCAATTGTGATATAATTAGAATTTTTATTAACAAAAGTTCCTTCTCCATGAGGAGCAAAAATAAATGGTTTAGAGTCAGATATTTCAAATTCAGGATAAAAGTAAAAATTCAAAGGATTCAATAACCTACCATTATTATAAAGTGCCCATTGACAATTACTAGATTGAAGATAGAAATTCACTGTTGTTGTAATAATTTCACGATTATCATATTGAAGTAAAAATCTTTCATTTGATGAATCATAAATATTAAGTATTGGTGTTTTTGAACCTGTTTTCAATAAAATTCGTGTCCAACTAAATCCATTATAATCTTCAACACCATCTCTTTGTTCAAGAGCTACATCTCCAATACCTTGACTTGGTGTTTTACATGAATCTATATTTTTTATTGTGACTGTTCCATCTTTATAACATTGTGCAAAAGTTAAGTATATGCATAGTACTAAGACAAGCATAACACGATTTATTTATCAGAGTTATACTTAATTTCTTTTTTTATGGAATTTTTTTATTCGATAATTCAAAAAATATATTTTAAATTTATATCATTAAATCAATCCTTTGTAACATACGAAGTGTAAAGTTAATAACCTGTTCTTTAAATAGGAGAATTTTAAAATAGAATTAAAACGGTTATATTTATAAATAGAATGTCTTATTTTAATTTTTGTTTTTCTCTTTAATTAATATTTTGTTTTTAATTTTTCATTTTTTGTAGAGAAGAACTAAAAAAGTATTGGTAATGAGTATCAGTCGGGTTCGAGTTGTCGATCCATTATCTACACCACCTCCTACAACAAAACCAATTAAAAGCATAACAAAAAAAGAAAAAGTGAGAGAACCCCCACCAGTGTCAATTTCAATTATAAGTGCTGTTAATGGAGAGTCTGTTGATTCAATTATATCAAGTAATTCATTCCACTTTTTATTAGAAGGACTAACACATGAGGTGTTTTCAGTTCAACCCGATGGAAGTTCACAACCATTAACCACAGAAACATTTGATACTATTGAAATATTTGGAAGGGGTGGGGCTGTGGTTCATATTACATGTGATTGTAGAGAGATTGTTGTTCAATATCAATCAAAATATGCATCTGTTATTGTAAGTCCAACAACTACTGTTTCAGAAGTGATTAGAAGTATTGAACATAGTTTAGGATTAAAAGGTCACCATATATTATATTTAAATGAAGGAAGAAGAAAAAGAATTCCATTGAGAAAGAATACCCTAGTTTGGGGATTAAAGAGTGATTTTACTTTAAAAGATATTAATGTTATTATTGGAGAAGAGGATATAATTCCATTGCAACCACCGTTTATTACAAGTGATGTATTATGTATTGTAGAATTTCAAAATATTCCACCGTTTGAGACAATTGTGGAGTCTACATGGAATTATGAAGAATTGGTTAAATTTTTATTAGAGTCTATTGGGGTTGATTCTGAAGTTTGGAAGGAGTATGACTTAGTTTTAAAGAAAGGATATAAAGCAATTAAGTTTGAAGGTATTGTTGGACAATGGGCTAAAGAAGGTGTAATAGTAGTTGAAGTCAATAAAAAACCAGGTTGTCATGTTATAGTTGTTGGAGACTATGATGATAAACCACATAAATGTCTTAGAACTGTTGAGTTTTATAGACAAGCACCAACAGAAGATGATTGTTGGGCTTATGCAAGTAGAATGAGTTTCACAGTCGCAACAAGTAATCTGACTTTAGTTACTAGTGTGGCACAAAAGTTCCAAGCTGCTAATACTTATATATTTACTATTGATGAGAATGGTATTACTAATTTTGCTGATGCCCAAAGTGTTGTTGGAAATGCTAAAAAAATGATCTTTGTAAAATCAGAAGAAGCACCTGGAACTTCTTTTTGTAGAGCACTTGAAGTACTTGATCCATTTGAGTCTGTTGTATATTCTCAAGGAGATCTTTTAGTAACGAAGTATAGAACTATTTTAGTTTCTTCATCGGTAGTTAGTGTTCCACATGCATCAGTTGCTATAGCACAAGTATTTATTATTGATGATAAACGAGATGCATTATTATTAATTGCTAAAGATTTACAACGTGTTATAATTACTGGAGATTCTAATAAAATCAGAAAATTATTAAAAATTTATTATTCTGAAGATAACAGATTGTTATTCCCAAGGAGCGTTTCAGAAACATATGCTTTCAGGTCAAGTGGAACAACTTCAACTGAAAGTGAATGGAGAGCATTATCATTTACTAAAGAATTCTCTCGTTTAGGAATTACTTCATCCAATGGGTTTAAAGTTATAGACAACAGAGATGGACATATAAGTGTTACATACCCACCTATGGTTGCTGTTCCTGATGGTGTTGACATTTCTTCTATTCTTACATTTAGGTCCAAAGGAAGAATACCTGCCATTTGTTGGAGAGGAGCTGGAAACCAAACAATATCAAGATCAGCACAACCATTACCAGGGGCACTAGGAAGAGCTCGATGTGAGGCTGATGAGTTATTGTTAAAAACCTTAGTAACACTAACAAAAGGAGGAGAAATATTATCAATATTTGATGCCCGACCTCCATTAAATGCACAAGCAAATAGATTGCAAGGAGGAGGAGTTGAGTCTAATACATATTATCCATTTTGTGAATTTCAATATCTTTCTATTGAGAATATTCATGAAGTAAGAAATGCATATTACAAAATGCTAAAAGCCATTCTTATGATGCCACATAATTCGTATGAATATAAGAATGTAATAGAAGGATGTAAATGGTATCAATTTTTACATTCTATTCTTGTTGGTGCAGTATCAATTGTAAATAAAATTAAAGAAGGGAATTCTGTATTAGTTCATTGTTCTGATGGATGGGATAGAACAAGTCAATTAACTTCTCTTGCAATGATTATACTTGATCCATACTATCGAACAGTCGAAGGATTGTTAACTCTTATTGAGAAAGAGTGGATTACTTTTGGTCATAGATTTAAACAAAGAAGTGGACTAGGATGTAGATATGATATTGATGTTACTCCAATAGTTCAAAGTTTATTTAGAGATGTTAAACCAAAAGACTTCCAGAAACAAGAACAAAATGATAATGAATCATCTCCTATTTATGGGCAATGGATTGAATGTGTTGAAATTATTAGAAGACAACAACCAGATGCTTTTGAATATAACGGAGATTTATTAATCTTTTTATTAGATAGTTTGTATAATTGTCAATTTGCAAATTATTTAGAATATCCAAACACTTGTTCTTGTAATATCTCGAATCTTCTTTCAATGGTTCCTTACGTTTATTCTCATAGAATTAAATTTACTAATACATCTTTTAAAGCTGTAGCAGATGATATAAAAGTTTCTTTAAATCCATTACAATTTAAATTATGGAAAGAATATTATTTAAGATATGACAAGCCTGTGGTATTAAATATTTGAATTAATTGAATAAATCTACATTTATTTACTTTTTTTTTAATTTCTATTGAAACAGTCATCTATTTGTTCTAAATATTTTAATTTTGACTTTATGCTTTATTTCTTTTCTTCTGTTGTTTTGATTGAATGTCTTTAATTTTCTTTATTAGTTTATTTTAAATATTCAATTCGATATTAATTTTTTTGTATGAGTAATCATAATAATCATAATAAATAAATTGAAATGAGTATCAATAACATTCAAGAATTTTTCTTTTTAACTACAACAAAAGAATAAATTTGTTTATTCCTATTTATAAAACATCCTCACTTTAAAATAAATACTAAAGAGTTACTTTTAAATTGTGTCATATCTTAGTAACATTAAATAAAAATTATTTAACCTTAATCATTAATTGAACTTTTAAACTTTTTCATAATAAATATTCATTCAAATAGATTTTCTATTTTATTAAAGAATCTATCAATGAATATTCTTTCAAGGAGTTATTTAATGAAACATTTTTGTATCATTTATTTTTAAATATAAACATGTTTTATATAACCTTTTTGCAAATCAAAAAGATTGAAAAAAGTAAAAATAACAATACTAACTTAAAAATAAATAAAAGATCTTTTAATAGTCATTGTGAAATGCTTTCTCTAACAACTAGAGCTACTAATTTATTAGAACAACCACTTAACACTGATTTATTAAATTTTTTGGCACTTGACATTCAAAAAGAAGTTATTAGATTAATTACATTAAATGTTACACAAAGAATAGGTGAGATTGGAAATTTTCTTATTACTGATGATCATTGTAAATGGTTAATGGAAACTATTGGAAAAGGATTTTCATTACCTCTCTCAGAAATTGATACTATTTCAAATTGTCTTTCAATATATGAAAGTTGGTTTTTAGAAGAAGTTGGAACTCCAAAACCAATTAGTGATAATATCGTCTGGTATTGTGGTGTTGTTGTTGGTCAAATATCATTATTATTCAGTCAAAGAGAAGAACATATTCAACCACAAACTATGGTTAATTATGCTGAATTATGTTTAAAAGCAGTTAACTTATTAAAACAACTATCGTATAAACTAAATAATACTGAAACTTTAAGAAGAATTGTTTGTGTTTTAATTGCATCTATTGATGATATGTGTGGTCCAATTGATAATTTAACAACAACACTTCCTATGACCAAAGTAATTGATGAGTCTATATCACTCTTATATCAATTTTGGTTACAATTATTACCATCTGATAATTTAATTTGGGGAGTATTTTCATTATTTCATAAAAAATGGATTAGAATTTCAGAAGTTGCAACAAATTGGTGTAGGTATTGTTGTTCAATTGAAAGTTCTTTATTAAAATGGCTTTTTAATCCATTAAGTGATGGAAGTATTCATATAGTATTTAAATTAAATGATACAATAACAGAAACTGATTGTAAAGAAGATTATGGTCTTAAATTTTGGTTAAGAATTCTTCATTGTTGTGGTAATCCATCATCAATTTCTGATAATAAAGTATTTGCTATAGTCCAACAAGGACTTAATGATATGATAATGGAATTAATTGGATTTACCAGTACAACTCCACTTCCTAATGGAAATGATATGTTTAATATTTTTGTTGATGCTTTATATCATCCTATTCGTTATATGGATCATAACAATTATTCTGATGGAATTACTATTGCTATAAAATCTACTATTTTAATGTTTAAAAAAATGTCATCTATTACTGTTTACCATACTCAACATTACTGTAAGATATTAAAAATTATTGAAACTTGTTTATTGAGTCCAGCACTTGTTGTAGTTGAATATACAATTCAATTATTGTTAGGTGTCTTTAATGAAAAGAATCAACCAATGGCATTATTATTACCAGCAATAGTATCAGCAACATCTAAAATTATTTCACAATCAAACCCTATATTTAAATTAAGTGCTATTAGACTAATAGCAGAACTTCAATTATCAATTGGAAAAGAACGTTCTGATGTAGTTATTCCAACAATAAAGAAATTACAAGAAAATGAAAATTCAATTACTTATGGTGGGATTAAAAAAGAATTATTTTCTATTGCATTATCTGCATTTGAAAAAGAGATAACTAAAGGAGAAAATTTATTAGAAAATATTAAAGTAATTGGGAAATTCATTATTGATGCAGCAAATGAAAATTCTATTGAAGAAGTGATAAATAAGACAATTTCATCCTTTATAAAATGCAATGAACAATTAAAAATATTATTGAATACATCATCAATGGATGTCATTGATTTTATTGAAATTATTATTGAATATTCTTCACTAATAGAAAACCAAGCAAATGACTTAATTCCTTTATTTGAATTTTTATTAACATTTATTGAAAACAATACATCAGGAACATCTTGGAAAAATCTTCATCAACTTGTTGGAACATTTGCCAAATTATATTGTATTTGCTTTGAAGTTATACCATCAAGTATGTTTACTCGTTGTAATATAATGTTTAGTCGTTGGTGTCAATCAATCCCACCAAATAGAACAGAGGATGGAAATACTATCTTTGATGTAAGATTATTAAACAGCTTCAAACAATACGTACTACCTTTTGTTCCATTAAAAACAACTATAGATGACTTACAAATAAAACAAATATTTACAAATAAAGGAATTAATCATTTTGATGAATATATTCATTTGTACTACAAAAATGATTCTATTCTTTCTTTTATTGAACTTCCTTGGATGAGAACTTCTGAAACAAAATCTTTACTTCTTATTTGTAGAAATTACTATGGAAAACAATGTTACTTATTAAATATGCTCTTAGAAACAAAAGAATGGACATTGTTATTAGATAATTCTACTCCTTCCCCCTACGAACCAACTATTCCTTCAATTGAACAAGCATCTTGGAATAAAACTTGCTCAGAAAATATAGAACCATTATTAACTGAATTAAAGAAAGATGTTGAAAGTAGAATAGATAATGATTCTCGATTAACAATACCATCAACTATTACAGAAGAATCTCTCAATAATCAAAATATTTTAAGTCAATCAGGATTATGTCGTATATTATTAAAAACACTTGGAATTACTTCATTTGAAAATAAATATCAAACATTATTACCCACAGATGAAGTTTTTGCTATTACTAAAAAAATAGATTCTGTACCAACTAAAAATAATGTATATGTTGATATAATAAATTCTAATAATTCTTCTAATGAATTTATTACGTTCATAAATGGTCTTGGAAATGTCTTTGAAAAACAAACAGGAGAACAAGAATTAAAATACATTGATGACCAATATATTATTTATTTCGGAAATGATGTTCTCTCTAAATCTTCTTATCCAAATACATCTCAAATTCAAATAAGATGGAATACTCCACTTGATACTGAATCAACAAATCTTCAAATTTCAATCACACCAACAAATAGTGATTTATATGTAATAGAATCAACTATTCCTCTTTTTACATTAGAAAAAAAACAATTAATAAACTTTTCTTGTTTATCTAACATTGTTAGAGAAGCTATTTTATCACACTCAAGAAGAACTACAAAACTTTTAACTCCACTATTAATGAGAAAAGAATCTTTTGATGAATTACTAAACCTCAAAACAGATACTCTTCCATTCCTTGATTGTCTTTTTAATAAGAACCAAATCAATGCTATGAAAGATCTTGGATTTAATTCTATTGACAAATTCTCTAATATAATTCCTTTTGATAAAACTCATTCCTCTCAACACTCAGTTAAAACTCCATCAACTACAATTCAACTTGCTCAATTACCACCAACCTCTACTCCTGTTGAAACAATAGAACCATCACTATCAAAATCTTCTATAGATATTGAAAATGGACCATCAACTCCTATAAAAACTCATAAAGGTTTATTCTCAAGAAAAAGTACATTAAGTTTCAGTGAAAAGAAAGAAGGTGATAAAGAAAAGAAAGATTCTAATACAAGACAAACTGTTTCTGGAAAGCCAACTGATGGAACATCCAAAGAAGTAGATAAAAAATCAAGATTTTCTCTGTTCAAGAAAACAAAGAAATAATTTGAATTGAATTTCTATTATTTTTCTTTTTTTTTATTTAATGGTTAGTTAGTTTCATTAATATTTATGTGGACAGTTGAATGTTTTATGACCATATTCTCTACAATAATCGCAATAATATCTACAATTTATTGGTACTTTTAATTTTTGAAATTTTTGGATTGGTAATTGTCTATGATGTTCATATTTTTGTTGATTTATTGTTTTCTTACTGTAACAATTAATTCTAAATGTTTGTTTTCCTCGTGTTGTTTCAATTTCTTTTATAATATCTTCTTTAAATTTTGGTTCATTCTTACATTCTTTTGGTAAATGCCCAAATTCACCACACCGTTTACATCGTCTTTTAAATAACTCTCTATCTTTCAATCTTTTTTGGTAGATACCTCTATAGTACAACCACTCTTCTCTTTTTATTGTATCTTCTTCTTTACTTTGTGACTTTGTCTTATCGTAGTTATTATCTGCAATGAAATGGTTTGGTAACTCTTTTTCTTTGGTTTCTATATGAATAAGACCATTACCCTCTAAGTGGTTTATCAATTCTACAGATTTAAATTGTGTGCAAACCTCTAAAGTTTCTACTTCTATTGAAGAACCAATACTGTTCATAAAAGAAAGAGAATAACAAATGAAAAAGAAGTTATTTTTTCATATAGAAAATAAAACAATTAATAATAGTTAATTAAATTATAAAATTAATAAAAACTGAAAACTAAATAATTTATTTATAACTACTGAATGGCTGGTTTATCTAGTTTTATCTATGGAGGTGATGAAAGTGTTGACCCTTTTGGTTCAAATAATTCAACCGTCGATCCATTTGGTGTTTCTTCAAATAGTGTTGATCCGTTTGCTATTCCTGTTCCATCACAACCTAATATTCAGTCATTTGACCCCTTTGCTAACTCAAGTAATACGAATGATTCTATACCACCACCAGTATCCTTCCAACTACAACCATCCTCTATACCGCCTGTAGCAATACCAACAATATCTAGTGATACACCAGATAAAGATAATAAAAAAGATGATATTAATGAACATTCTCCTGCTGAAGAAGATGAATTAAAAACAGAATTTAATGTTGAACCTAAGAAGTCACCAAGAATTGCAATTGAAACTGAAGAAAATAAACCAAATCAAAAAGAAGAAACAACTGAAGAACAACAACCCCAACAAATAACAGAAGAACAAAATCAAAATGTTATGATTACAGAGGTTGAAGACCAAGCAAATCAAAAAGTGATTAATTATTTCCAAAAAGCATTTTCAACAACATTTGTCCCTCAACTAAAAGAAACAGAAACAGAAGTAAATGAACTAATTCAAATTCAAGGATTATTAGATAATCAATTAAAAGTATTATATGATAAACTTAAAGAAATGGAACGTATTCTCTCCCCACCATCATATATTGAAGATTTAAATAGAATTATAAAAATTCAAAAAAGAATTGATAGAATTAATGCAGTATTAACTCAAATAGAGACACGAATTACAGTATTAATGAGTTCAAGAATCTATATGAAATGTTTGTTATTTTTATTTTAGAAATATAAAGGAATTTATTAATAATAATCTTATGTGTAGATAGTTCACAAATAACAATCACTAACTAATCATTTATTTTCTCTCAATTTCTTTTAATTTAATTCTTAATTAATTAAATTTGTTCATTTAAACCATGGATGTTCTAAACACATCTTTGCAGTAAATCGTTTATTTTCATCATAAATAAGCATTCCTTCAATCAATGATGCAATAGGCTCAGCAACTTCAGGTAAAAATTTATATTTTTCAATAAGAACTTCTTTAGTTTTCCATAAATGTAATTCATTATTAGGAATATGTTTTAATTCATAATTTCTTGTAAAATATTTTGGAGTATTTGGAGCTATATTTAAGTATTTTTTATTGAAATAACCAAGTAATTCAATAAATTGGGCTAAATGGTCTTCTTCTAACGTAAATGTTTTTCCTTGTTTCGGTTTAAATAAATAATCTCCTGTTAACATTTCAAAAATCATACATCCATGTGACCATATATCAACTGGACATCCCCAATGAAGTCCTAAAATAACTTCTGGACTTCTATATTCTAATGTTTGAATATCGTCAGTAAATCGTTTGTTAATCCAATTTGCATTACCAAAATCAGCAAGTTTACTTTCAATAATTTTAGGAATTGGTTCTTTTCCATTTTTTGGAATTGTAAATGAAAGAAGTACATTTTCTGGTTTTAAGTCAGTATGAATAATTCCACATTTTGTATGAATAAAATCTAATGCTTTTAATATTTGTTTTGCAATTTCTTTACAATCATTAATTGGAATACCTTTATAATCATAATATTTTATTAAGTCTAATAAATTTGATCCTCCTAACTCCATTACCATACAAATATGTTGTCCATTTGGTCCATTATGCTTAAAATCTTCTAAAATATGTATTACATTTTCTTTTCTTTCTGGATCACATTCATTTATTTTCTTCATTATTTTAATTTCATCTAATGCAGTTTCTGTGTATGTTTTTGCACTTTTAACTATTTTTAATGCACCTTGAATTTTATTTTCCTTATGTTCTACTAACCATACTGTTGAAAAATGTCCAAATCCAAGTTTCTTTTGAATGATATAACCATTATATTCTTCTCCAATAACTACAGGATGATATCCACCAAGTCTATAATATTTTGGTTTTTCAACATATTCTCCATCAGAATTTTCATAGCCATCTGAAGATGAATCAGACTCTTCTTTAGGTTTACTAATTGGTTTAGGTGCAATTTTAGCTAATCCCACTTTTTTGGGGTTCTTTTTAGTAAATGGCATACAACTGAGAAGAATCAGTTCTTTTTATATAATTCTAATTTCATTCGTTCTTTTAAAACCCTTTTTCTTTATGACAAAAACATTATTAAAAAAATTTTCAAAATAAAATATTCAACACCTTAAGAGTCGATTAGAAGAGATCTCCAAATCCTCCGAAGTCTTCTTCGGCTTCTTCTTCTTCTTTTTTATCTTCTTTCTTTTCTTCTGTAGCTTCATTTTGTGCAGCTGGGGCTGCAGCAACTGGAGCAGATCCTGCGTCCATAATTAAATCTTCAATATTGGCATTGGTAAGAGCCTTAGCCATGATAATTGGCCAGAAACCTTCAACCTTAATATTAGCATGGTGAAGAACAGTGTTAATATGTTCAGCAGTAATTTCCTTACCAGCTTCATGGATAAGAAGAGCAGCAAGGGCAACGGCAAGTTCTTGATGTTGATGAGCAGCTTCCATTTTGGTTGAAAGTGAATAGTAAAAGAGTTCAAGTTTTGAAAAGTAGGTTTAGTTAATAACTATAAATTATAGTAAATTTATTATAAAAAAGATATTTGAGAAAAAAGAATTTTTATTTAATTAAAAAAGAATTAAAATAAAGAAATGAAAGAATTAAAAGTGAATTATACAAACGAATAGATTGATAAATCTTCAAATGCATTATTTATCCAGTTCATTGTTCTTTCTGGTAATACAAAGAATTTTGAAAGAAGGAGTTTATTTAATTCTTTTTTTAAAATAATAACTGAATTTTTATCTATAAGCCATAAAGAATGAATAGTATTTTTACGAAGTAATTCTATGTGTCTTAAAACAAAATAAAATGGAGATTCATTCTTTTGATGAGGAATATTTGTTGTTAAAAAAACACCATCATAATGTAAATAGAGACATGATTTTAATAATGAATTTACTGAAATACAACTCTTTGATTCACTAAAAGAATTTTGAATATTTTGAATATCAAATTCTTTATAAAAACTATATGGGAGACTTTTGTTTGAAGTACAAATTACAACAAAAACAGTTTTTATTGTTAATTTGACATTAATAAAAATATCAATATACCAAATAATATTATTTATTAATGGATAAATTGGAATTAAATGATTTGAATATAACCATTTATTAAGTTTCATTGAAGGTAAAGAACTTTTTAAAGGTGCATGAACATTAATAAGATGATAAAATGGTAATATTTGTGATTGGTCTAATTCATTAAAAAGAATTGAATTGTTTCTAATTATAAAACATGTTTTAAATGTTGGATATTTTGAATGAAGTAAATTCATTTTACTTTTTAAAGAAATAAAAGAAGAAGAAGGAATAATTCCATTTCTAAGTTGATATAAATATTCAAATATTTTATTAAAAGTAAATGTAGTAAATATATTATTAAAATACATTTCTAATAATTCATTTGTAATTGATTTGTTAAGTTCATTTCCATTAAGAACCTTAAAATGTTATTGAATAGATATTTCATTTTTATAACTTAAAGAAAAACAAACAAGAAATGTATCAACAAGTGTTTTGAGATATTTAGAATAATAATAATAATTCGTATTTTCTTGTTCTCTTAAAATTCTTAAAAGAAAATAATAATGTGGTATTGGAGAATAAATAAAAGTAACATAATTCTTTGTTTTTATTATTTGAATATTACCACAAAATTTATTAACAAGTAGTATATAAGAAAGAATATGATTTATAGTAATAACTAATTGGTTATATTCAACTCTTGTTAAATAAAATAATAATCTCTCATCTTGATGTTCAGATCTATTTCCTAATCTATCATCAATAACAGCAAAAAAATTAACACTTTCTAATTTAGACGTCTGAGACATAGTAATTAAAAGTTTAAAAAAACTTTTTTATAATAAAAAAATTAATAAATTAATTTAATTGAGATCGTATTGATGGAATGGATGAAACAATATTGAATAACTCATCTATTTTTTTCGTTAATATTGGTCGTTCATGTAATTTCTTAAATTGAGTCACAAATGAATTAATTTTTTCTGGAGAATTTGAAATAAATATAAGAATACTTTTAACATGACAAAGTTTAATCAAAATTTCTATTGATAATAATTGAACTGAAGAATCACCAAATTCACTCCAAATCATCAATAATGGAAATATTTGATTTGACATAGAAAATAAAGCAGACTCTTCGTCATAAATCAGATTATCATAAATACGAAGAACAGAATGAGTTGTTGCCATTGGCACTTCATTACAAAAACCAACAGGAATAAGGAGTGATAAAATATTTATAGAAAGTAATAAATTTCTGAAGGATGTTTCAGAAATAATATCAAATAGTTCTATAATTTTAATTAATATTTGAGTTGGTTTTATTTTAGGCAGAATTTCCTTTGTGTACATTTTAATAACATGGTCAATAAAATGAATTTCAAATAAATAAACAATATAATCATTTTTCATAGAAATTAAATGAATAGCTTCCAATAATTTTTCTTCAGAGATATTATCTGCTAATAGGTTAGCAACTTTTTTTTCTTCATTGGTAAGTTGGTAAGGTGGTAATTTAATTTTTTCTTCATGACAATGAGAGTGATGTTCCATTTTGCTTTTCATGTGAGATTAATATCCACATTAGTAAAAATAGAATATAAGAAAAATAAAAAAAAACTAGAAAATAGAAAGAAAACTCAAAAAGAAACGTGAAACTTTAAAAGTCTAAAATAAGTTTAAGTTGAACTATATAATGAAAACTACAATCTAATCAAATAAATATTTAATGTCCCAACCACAATGGGTTCTTACCCAAAAGAAAACATTTACTAAATGGGCAAATGTCCAATTAAGTGGAGCATATGTTATAAATGATGTTGAGACTGATTTAAATGATGGATTGATCTTAATATCATTATTTGAAGCTTTAAGAAAACAAAAAGTACAATTCAGATATAATAAGAAACCAAAGATGAGAGTAGCTAAATTAGAAAATACAGAACAAGCATTAAATTTCATTAAAGCTGATGGAGTTAAATTAGTTAATATTGATGCTCAAAATATTGTTGATGGAAATTTAACACTTATTCTTGGACTTCTTTGGACACTTATTCTTAAATATCAAATTGCTCAAAACAAAATGGATGCATCAAAGAATGCATTACTTGAATGGGTTAACTCGAAATTAACATCAAGAAAAATTAAAAACTTCTCAAATGATTGGAATACAGGTGATGTATTAAATGAATTAATTCATGCTCTTGAACCAGACTTTATTGATTTAGCTGATTCAGCATCAAAAGGAGAAGGAGAAGAAAGAATTCAATATGGATTAAGTATTGCAGAAGATAAAATGGAAATTCCAGCAATTATTGCAGCAGAAGATATGGCACTTCCAGAACCTGATGAATTATCTGTTATGGCATATGTTTCTTATTTCAGACATTATGAAGCTGAAAAAGAAAAGAGATTAGGAGAAGCTGAAAGACTTGCACGTGAAGCAGAGTTAATGAGAACACCAGATCCATCAAAATGTGTTATGTCAGGACCTGGACTTAAAACAGGAGAAGTTCTTGTACCACAAGAATTTACTGTTACAGCTAAGAATTGTAAAGGAGACCAAATTACACAAGGAGGAGTTACATGGAATGCACATGTATTTGATCCAGAAGGAAATGAAATTCCAATTGAACAAAAAGATAATGGAGATGGAACATATGATATGACATACGTTCCACAAGTACCAGGAAAACATAAAGTTGAAGTTGCATATGAAGATAAACAATTAAAACAATCACCAGCTATTGTTATGATTGAACCAGCACAAGCAGATCCAGAAAATACATATGCAGATGGAGAAGGTGTAGAGAAATGTGATGCAGGAAAAGGACCAGTTAAGTTTACCATTCATTGTGTAAATAAAGTTGGAACAGCTGTACCAGTTACTGGAGCTAAGTTTAAAGTTATCATTAGATCTAATGATGGAAATGAAATTCCACATGAACTTGTTGATAATAATGATGGTACTTATACAGGAAGTTATGTTCCAGTTCCAGGAATTGATACTGTTTTCATTACATTATTGAATCAAGGAATTAAAGGAAATCCATATCAATGTAAAGTCTTCCAAGATCCATCTACTGCATGTATTGGAGAATCATATGCATTTGGACCAGGTGTTGAAGGAGGAGTTACTATTGACAAAACACCAGTATTTAGAATTCAAGGAGTTACACCAGAAGGAAAGAAATGTACTAAGGGAGGAGATGAATTTAAAGTTGAAATTACAGATCCAGAAGGAAAGAAACAAACAGCAAAGGTTGTTGATAGACATAATGGTAAATATGATGTTAAATATAAGGCTAAAGTTCCAGGTATTTATGATGTTCAAGTTCTTTTGAAAAATCCAGAGAACCCAGAAGAATTTAAGGATATTAAAGGATCAGTTTATCATCCAGAAATTAAGGATGGAGTTGATGCTAAGAAATGTGTTGTTGATGGAGAAGGTATTGAACGACCAAATGATCAAGAAGACAATGTCTTTACTATTCATGCTAAGAACTTTAAAGGAGAAGATGTTCCAGTTGGAGGACATCCATTCCAAGTTATCATTGATCAAGTCACAGAAAGTGAAAAGAAGAAGAAAAAAGAAGGAGAAAAGTCATCAAGCAGTTGTTCATCTTCTGAGGAAGAGGAAGATGATGCAGAAGATGAAGAATTGTTTGCATTCTTGAATGATGGAGAAGAAGCAGAACAAGGAGAAGAAAAAGCAAAAGAGGAAGGAGCAGAAGAACCAAAAGAAGAGGAAAAGAAAGAAGTTGCAGAAGAAGAACCAAAGAAGGAGGAAGAAGAAAAAGAAGAAGAAAAGAAAGAGGAAGGAGCAGAAGAACCAAAAGAAGAAATTGAAGGAAAGAAGGTAGCACAAAAACAACAAGGAAGTATTCCATGTACTGTTATTGATAATGAAAATGGAACATATGATGTTCATTATAGAGCTGCTGCAGGTAAGATTAGAGTCAAGATAGAATTAAATAAACAAAGAGTTGGTAAATCACCATATCATCTTGAAGTTGAAGAAGATGCTGATGCAGATGAATCAGGAGTTGAAAACTTCTGCTTTGTTGTCCAAGCTAAGAATAGAAGAGGACAAGTCCAAGCTGATGGAAAAGCTAAATTCACAGTTGAACTTGATGGACCAAATGGTAAGCTTGAAGAACAAAAAGTTAAAGTTAAACACCTTGGAGAAGGAAAATATTTCATTCGATATTCTCTTCCAGCAGAAAAAGGAGAATATCATATTAACTGTAAGTTGAACAGAAGACATATTGCTGGATCACCATTTAAACAAACGGTCAATTAAACAAGTGCAAATTGAGTTTCTTTCATTAGTAAAATAAAGAAAAGAATTTTGTTTTGTTTTATAAAATAAAAGGAATATAAAAATAACATTTACATCAAAAGAACATCAATATTTTAATTTAAATAGACAATCGTTTTTGTTTATGGATTTTTTAAAATCTTTTTTACTAAGTTTTGGTTTCAGATTTGTTTTTGATAAGTAATCTCGAAAATTGGAACTAGTGGTGGGTAGTATATGATAAATGCCCTTAGTGATGTATTCCCAAACCAAACACTTACATATATTCAATCAACATCTTTTCCTACTCCAGTGGTGATTAAAGATGATATGATTAAAAATCCAGAAGAATGTAAACGAATTCAATTAGAAAGAAAGTTATTACTTACAATTTCACATCCTAATTTACTTACATATTATTCTATTGTTCATTTACCACGGATTGATGGATTACAAGTTACTTCACACATTGAATATATGGATCTTCTTGATTTGTATACTTTTATTCATGGATTATCTACACCACCCCCTATCTCGTTTATTCGATATGCATTAATTCAATTATTGAATGGATTGCAATATATCCGAACAGCTTGTAAGAGTATATTATCATCATTAACTCCTTACACTATCCTTCTTTCTAATGATGATAGTATGCCTCTTCCACGAATTAAAATTTCTAACTTTGTTCATTCAATATCACCATTTCAACCATACTATAAATTAGCATTTGCAGCACCAGAATTATTATGGGATTTACAATGGGGAACAGTAAATCGACATGAGAAACAAGATGTGTGGAGTTTAGGAATGATATTATATTTCATAATTACAGGTGACCATGTATTTAGAAAAGGAGACATTATTAGAGAATTAATGGAACACAAAGAAATAATATTTTCAAATATTAGTAATGATGAATTAAGAGAATTAGTATCAAGAATGTTAGTTTATGATGAAAATAGAAGAATAACATTCCAAGAATTAAATAATCATAATTTTATTAGAGCATCAAAGTTATTAATTTATTCTAATGAAGGAAGTCATCAATATAAATTTATTCGAGTAATTGGAGAAGGACATTTTGGTAAAGTATATGAAGCACAAGAATTATTTGGAAAAAAAAGAATGGTTGCATTAAAAGAAATTAAAAGCACTAATGATAATCAAGTTTTAAGAGAAAGTAGAATAATGAGAATATGCAATCATCCTAATTTAGTTAAGATTTATGATTATTTCACTTCTCCATATCCAATCTTTGTCACAGAAAATGATGGGGATGAAGAATTAAATGGAGGAAATTATCATTACATTGTAATGGAAAAATGTGACTGTGATTTATTAACATATTGCAAAGAACATTCATTGAGTGAAATTCAAATATTAGAAATATTCAAACAATTAGTACAAGGTATTCATTATTTATTACGTGTAGAAAAAATATTTCATAGAGACTTAAAACTAGAAAACTTCTTATTAAAGAGAGAAATAAATGGGAGTGTGGTTGTTAAAATATCAGATTATGGATTAAGTAAAATTGTTGTTGAACAATCATTATTTGAGTCATGTGTTGGTACTCCACAATATATGGCACCAGAAGTATCATTTGTCAATTTAAAAGGGAATTATACAATTAATGCAGATATGTATTCTCTTGGAGTATGTCTTTATTATCTTGTTAGTCAACGATGGCCTCCAATACAAAATAAAGACTCATTATGGATTTGTATTGATTCTAATATTAGTAATGACTTAGTATTTCCTGATGGATTTAATAAAGACTTTATTTATATTATACAACAAATGCTTGAAATTGATGTTAAAAAACGAATTTCATGGGATGAGTTATTTGTTCATCCATTTATCACTCAAAAGCTTCAATGTGTTTTTGTTGACATAAACCAGTTTTTCGTTAAATCTTTATTACCACCACCTCAAGCACTTATTAATGCCCAAAAAATAAAAATTAGTACCCCAAGAGTTCGACATCAACGAAATGATTTTAGTATGGAAGAAGATGATGACAATGATGACTTTGATAAAATAATTCAATGTTTTAAGTCCAATGATGAGATATTTGATGATGACTGGATAGAGGCATTAAATGCATGTAAAAGAAGAAATGTAATAGTTTGTTAGTATTGTTTTGTTTCTTTTCTCTCAGATAATAGGGAATATGAAAATGATTTATCCCATAGATTTCAAGTTTAAGAATAAGTGAAGACTGTCTCAATTCATTCTTAGAGTTTATAAAAGGAACAATCACTGATCCAGTTGAAATGCCTGAAACTTTAAAATTTGAGAATTGTGAAATACCATCTTCCTTAAAAAAGGATGTTTATTATATTTCTACTCATTTTGACATTGTGTTTGATTCAATATCAACTAAGTTTTACTAAATTTATTTCTTTTTTTTTAAGGATAAGTTTTCTTAAATTCTTTTTATATTTAATTTTCTAATAAATATGTAAAATTACTTTGAAATATTTTTTCTAATTAAATTGATACGTACATGTTAAGCAATATTTTATTTGTTATTATTCTGTTAATTCTAGTACTGTTCCTATTCACTGCCTCTTGTTATTTCTTTTAAAAATTTGTCTCATCATTATTATTTCAACTTAATTATTTCAACAGCACAATTTTTTAATGACTGAAATAACTGGATTATTTAGAAATACAAATAAGATTGATTGTAGCAAAACTAACGATGAACGTAATGAATATAGAGTTGAATATTAAATTAAAGAAAAAAAACATATTTGTTTGAAGAAAATATTAGAAAATAATTAAGTTGTATTGGTTTTGTGTTATTTTATTTAATTAGATAAACGTAAATTAGAATGATTTGATTTTATTATTAATATAAACTGATATAATATCATAAGTTGATTATTAATAAATATAAAAGACTTTTAAACAATGTGATTAATTAAATTACATGCTTAAAAACAAAATTTGATTAATTAAGAGTGTTAGAACTATAAGAATTGTATATTAAATAAAAAGTATTGTTATGAATTTTCTATTCAACTTCTTTAAAAAAAAGGAAAAAATTAACAAAAAAATTTAAATGAACGAAATTATTGATGTTGATGAATATGAACAAGCACCAGATTTTGTGTTTTATAATGATCCTTATTGTTTTCGTACAACAGAAGAAATAATTGGTGTTGAAGATTTTGAAGAAGGTGAAGACGAATTAAAAGAATTAAATAAAACCAAAGAAAATTATTTTATTGTTGAAACTACTGGGTTTGATATGTTTAATTATGATGGATTACAACTAACACAAGATATTACATACTTTAAAATACACTTTAAAGAAGCTGTGGATTATATTAAATCAATTATTCAATTGGATATTATTGATATTCATGACGTTTTTCAAAATATTAATAAAATGATTTTTAGAGGACATATAACAAATACAATCATTGAATGGTCAAAAAGAATGACTGTATGTGCTGGAATATGTTATGGTAAAAGTAATGGATGTGTTATTCGTTTGTCTGAAGGAATATTAAAATATCGAAGTATTTATGATGTTGTTACAACCATTGTACATGAAAGTATTCATGCATTTTTGTTTAGAACAAAAACAAGGGATAATGATTCACATGGAATTCGGTTTCATCAATGGATGACAATTATTAATGAAAAAACACCATTACATGTTACTGTTTATCATACATTCTACGAAGAATGTAAAAATTTACATAAACACATTTGGAGGTGTACTGGTCCTTGTAGAAATAAACCACCATTCTATGGATATGTTAAAAGGTCAATGAATAGAGCACCAGGACCAACAGATAGATGGTATGAACAACATAAAAAACATTGTGATGGTCATTTTGTTAAAATAGATGGACCAGAATTTCATGAAGAGACATTAGCAAAAAAACCAAAAAGAAAAGAAAGAAAGTCACACACCAATAAAAAAGAAGTAAAAAGCAAAGATTTAAAAGACTTATTTAATGAACTTAAAAAGAAAAAACAATAAAGTAATATATAACAAAAATAAGAATAACAACAATATATATAACTAAATACTAATTTTTTTTTGTTATAATAATTTTTATTCTAATTTGAAGAAATTGAAAAATATAAACCTTAGGGTTAGAACAAAAAAATAAAAGAGATAAATTCATGTCAGACGCTAACTCAAAGATTTTCCCACTTGCAGAGAAAGAGCTTCAAAATAAATTGATTGAATTCGTTCAACAAGCTCAACAAAATGGATTTGTTAAAAAAGGTGCAAATGAAACAACAAAAGCACTTAATAGAGGAAAAGCAGATATTGTTATTATGGCAGCAGATACTCAACCAATTGAAATTGTTTTACATCTTCCAATTCTTTGTGAAGACAAAAATGTTCCATATGTTTTTGTAGGATCAAAAGCAGCACTTGGAAGAGCTTGTGGAGTTTCACGAGATGTTATTGCAGTTGCAATTATTAATGATAAAGGAAAATCAGCACCATCTGTTGAAACAATGAAAGATGAAATTGAGAAACTTTTGTTTTAAGTGAATTGATTGATTTTAGAATTAAGTTTTTTTTTTAATAAAATAATAACAATAAATGGAAATAACAATAATAGAATTACATTGTTTGTTTCAATGTTTTTAATTCTTAATAATTTCTTTTATTCAAATTGGTTTTATGTTTATTAAAAAAGTATTGAAAAAAAGATTGTTTTTATAATCAAAAGTATTGTCATTTGAAAATAATATTTAAATAAATATTTTTTAAATCATTCATGACACATTTATGTTGGTTTAGAGTGGAAAAATATTTGTTTTCAAAAATGATAAAAGTTCATTTTGTTTCATTTTCTTATTTCTTTTTGACTAAAAATAAAGAAAAAAGAATAACTAGAATTTAATAAATCTAACCAAAAAATTACTATTTTATAATAAAAATAAAATAAATCAATCATGGGGTGAAAAGATGATGAGGAAAGTATTTTTTATGAAAAGAAACTGTTCAAAAAAAAATAACAACTTAAAAATCCAAAAAGTTAATGAACAAAAACGATGGGCTGGTGTATTTGCATTATGGATTTGTACTTGTAGGAATAATTGTTCTTTTTTTATTTGTTTTTGTTTTTTATATTAAATTATTTAATACATCGTTTGTATTTATATTTTATAAATAAGATATGGCATTAATTAAAAGGTTAACACCTAATTCATATCAATATCAACCAGTATATAAATCTTATCACAAAAATTCACCAATACTAAGAGTTGCTTTAGTAAGTGATTTAGACAAAGCGAGTAAAGAAGGTCAAATGTGGAGGTCTGTTGTTATAGTAGGAATTATTTTCAGACAAGGTAATTCATATGATTTTCAAGAACAAGAAGAATTTAATATAAGTTTACCAATTAATGAAAATGGAAGAGGAATGGAATTAAGTGAATTATTAAGTTTCAATGGAAGTCTCTATGGGTTTGATGATAGAACTGGTTTAGTTTGTGCCATTGATATTGAAAAGAAAAAAGCATATCCTCGACTTATTTTGAGAGATGGAGATTCCTTTTCTGATAAAGGAATGAAAATTGAATGGGCAACTGTTTATAAAGATTCAATGTATGTAGGAAGTATTGGAAAAGAATTTACAACACCAACAGGAGAATATTTGAATGATAATCCATTATATGTGAAACAAATAAATGTTGATGGAAAAGTTTCTGTACTTAATTGGAAAAATAAATTTAATGCAATAAAAAATGCGGTTAGAATTTATGGAGAAGGATATATGATTCATGAAGCTGTAGCGTATTCAGTTAGTGATAATAAATGGTATTTTGCACCTAGGAAATGTAGTAATGAGAGATATGATGATATTAAAGATGAAGTTCGTGGATGTCCTTACATTATTTCTACTAAAGACTTTATTCATTTTAATATAATAAACGATCCTCAACATGATTTTAATAAAGGGTTTAGTTCAATCAAAATTTTACCTCATGATGAAAATAAATTAATATATTTAAAGAGTGTAGAAGTTGGTAAAAGAAGTGAAACGTATATGGGAATGATAAGTACAACAGGAGAAGTAATAATGAAAGAAAAGTTAATAACTAAAATGAAAATGGAAGGAATAGAATTTATTCCAATTTAATCTTTTAACATAGTAAAAATAAATATTAACATAAAATATAATTGATATTAAATTAAATTATCTCTAATATTAAATTTCTTGATTTTTCTTGAAGTTTCTTTTAAAACGTTTTTAGCATTTTTTAATGCAAAGTTTTTGATTTCTGCTTGTTTTTTTAGAATTAACAAAGTTTCTTTTTGATTAGCATTTTGAGCTCTTGAAATAGCTTTTGTTGCAATTTTATTTCTTTTTTGTGCAACTTTAAAATGAAATTCAGCTCTTTTTTTACTAGAATATGAAGGGGATTGTTGGTTTCTGGTTTGTTCTAACAAAGCAATATTTTTAGCATCACGAGCTCTTTCTAACATTATAAGTGCTTTTCTTTGAGCTCTCCATTTTTTTTCTATTGTTTTTTGAAGTTCAGTAAAGTCAATAGTGTTTGTAGATGTAGTTGCAACTAATGCTGAACGTTTTAATTCATTTAATTTAGCTTGATCTGAGTCTATTTCATTTTGAGCTAATCTACGTAATAATTCCATTCTTTTTTGCTCTACTTCTTTATTACGATCATCAATTAATTGTTTAAATTTTTTTTCACTAACTTTTCCTTCTTGAGCTTCAATAGTATTTTGTTTAATTAATCCTTGAATAATTTCATTATATGACAAAGAACTTCCTGCAACTTTACCTAATAATCTTAATGAATTTTGTCGTTTTAAATGTTCAATTAATAATTCTCTTTGAGCTTGTTTTGATCTATTATTATATTCTTCAAAAACAGTTAGTGCATTTGTGTAAATTATTAAAATAAATAATATTTTCATTTCTTAACTCTTTTTTAGATTACATATTTTTAGTTCTTCTCTACTCTTCTTTTCTTTTTTCTTTTTTTGTTTTATTTTTATATATTGATATATATAGCATTATTTAAGTCATTTATTATCATTTTGAATTTTGCAACTTTGAGGTTTTATCTTTGTCATTTCACAACACCTCATAAGAAAGTTTATTATAATTTTATTATAAAAATATAATAAAACTTGAATAAAGAATATGTCTAAAAGAACTTGATGAACTTACAAAAGTCAATTTGAAATGTCTAAACAAATAAACTTCTTTAGGGTGTCTGAGTATTGCCCTAAATCACTTTCAAATATTATACAATTTTATCAAACAAATGACATTGAAATACTTATAAATTCATTACAAAAGTATAACCAATCTCCACTTCCAAGGGAATTAAAAAAAAATATTTTTACACTTATTCCATTTCTTGCCAATAGTGTATTTAACGTATTTTATAATATTCCTGTAATTAATAATAATGGAATTTTCATTGCTGATTTATCTCATCAAAATGTTAAACAATTAGAGGAATTAATGAAAGAATTTATAAATGCATTTTTTATCATTAAACAATATTTTTCTGTTCTTTCTATTCATAATGAAAACAGAATAATGTTCCATTTCTTTGAACGATTTTTGTTATGTAATAATTTGTATTTAACAACATGTTTTATTTCATTGTCATATATGTTTAATCCAACATGTAGTTTTATTACAACAGTAAATACATTTATTAAAAATGACTTTTATTTACCATTTAATTTAGAGAAATTAAATTCATTTGAACTATTATTACAAACAGAATTACAAAAAAATTCTATTGAATATAAAATTGATTATTATCAATTAATTTATCAATGTCAATCTATTCAACTTTTAGCAGACTCTCGTTTATTATGGTGGATTAAAAATAATAACAAAACTATTACTTTATGGAATGATTTATTTGCATTAAATGTTGCAAGTCAAATGTGTTTAATACCTGACGAATTAAATCTTGAATCATATCAATTTCCATTTGTTATTTTTAATCATTTATTGGAAGTACCTCAAACTCGAAATTTATTTTATTTATTTAAAGATAGAATTATATTCATTGAAAGTTTTAGTGAAGTAGTTAAAAAGGCTATTTCATTATTATCTCAAGATAAACTTCAACCCCAATCTGACCTTCTTACTTCATCAGAAATTATTCATGAAGATGGATTAATTAATGAATTGTCTATTGAAGATAAATATTTTGCAAAGAAAATTATTGAAAAAATTACTTCTCAAATTGAATTTTCATATGTTATTCCTTATATCACTTCAACTGATCTTCCTGAATATGCTCATAGATGGATATTCTCTGTTATTAAAGATCACTCAAATTTTAAAGGTAATACAAAACAACGAAATGATTTATTCTATGACTATTTAAAAAAAGTTAATAGTAATTCGAGAGATATATGTAAAATTTATTCATTATTTGCAGAGACAATTATTTCTACTATGTCACATGTTAATGAAGAACATGTTCAATTAGTCGTTGATTTTTTTATTGCCAATTCATTAAATTATGATTTTCTTTCTAGTATTTTTCAAGAAAATATTTTATTTAGATTCTATTTAAAATTTATTGGAAGTCCAATTGCAACAAAAATATTTGAGAAGACTTTAACATGTATTAGACAAACTATTGAAATATTGAAGAAAAGTGATGAACATTTTCCATTACTTAATGTAATAGATGGAGATGATCCTGTTGTATTAAGTGAGGTTATTAGCAATTATACTTCTTTTATGAAACAATTAAGAAATACAGATGCATTCAGTGGTGATGATAATATTAACTCTTTAATGATAAACTGTATTTTGTTATGTTTAAGATATGGAGGAAGGGATGTATGGAGTAGTGTTCATGAAAATTACAGAAATCTTCAAATGATTTCAAAAGAATTATTGAGTCAATTAGTAATTGATTCATGTAACATTATAGATTGTATAGCTAAAGAATGTAATGCAGATAAAATTAATGACAGTTTTTATTGGAACATTGAAAGTATTAAAGACAAATATCGTTTTAGTTATGGATCACCATTGTTGTATTCAGAAAATAGAATGTCAATGCAAGAAAAACAAATAGAAATATATGACAGATATGGTATTGAATTATTTGAAGAAAGTATTGGTAAAAATAATGCATTGTATTATGTTAGAACAGCATTAAATTTTGGGGATATTTTATGTTCATTTGGGGATAGAATGAAAAAGAAAGATGTAAAGAAAATTATTGAAAAGAGAATGGAAATAAATGTACCATATGAATATTTTAGAACGATTGAAATTAATTTGGTTTCTAATGAACGTTTTAGTACGGTTTATATTATATTAGTTAAAGAAATGTTTCAAAATATTTATAATAAGTTATCAAACAATGAATATGTTACTAATATGGAACTTTATAAGATATCTGTTTTACTAAATAAGATTTATTTGTATAATGAAGAATCTCATTTTTTAATTAACTCTATTCCTAAAGAACATGTAACTAGTTATATAAAAGAAATTTTTAAAAGATATTATCAAGAAATTATTCAATTACCAAATTTCAATCCACAATTATTTAGATTTACTACTACTAATACTATTGATAAAAGATATCGTGTTATTGCAATTTTTGATTATATTTTATATATTCTTGCAGAACCAACAACCATTTTAAATGATTTTTGTTCAATTGTATTATTACCATCTTTAATGTCTCAAGAATTTGAAAAAGAGATGAGTATTGGATTATTGTGGTTTATTGATAATAATGATTTTATAAAATTTAAGAAGTCTTTAAAAATGCCAACTTATATTGATAATATGGTTAAGTATTATATTACTTTATTACAACATTATTCAAAAGAACATGATGAGTTAACATTTATTCCTTTAAAGTTATTTTATGACTTTTTAATTACTAAAGTTCTTCATGAAAAATCATTTTTTGGAGATTCATTTAAGTTATATAGAAAGTTATTTGATATTTTAGCATCTCCTTTGAATTTTATATTACCAGTTAATTGTTATTCATCGTGGATTAATCTTGCGTTATTAATTATTTTAAAGTCTCCTTTCCCTAATAAATTCCAAGAAAGACCTGAGCCATTTGTCCAGTTCACTGTAAAAATTCAAAAGAATTATTTTTATTACCTCAAACAACAAATTGAATCTTTCTCATATGAAACTATTCTTTCAAATATTATGTTATCTTCTGCATATACTGATATTTTATTTTATTTAGACGAAATAAATACACTCCAAGATAAAATTCTTTCTACTAATCATATTACTGATGGCATTTTAACTGTTATAAAAAAGTTGTGTAATAACAAAACTGAAGACAATTCAAAATTGTTTGATCTTATTTGTTTAATCAAAAAAGAATTCAATCAACATCAACAAGGAGAAAGAGAAATATTTGCAAATATTTTGCATATTTGGAAAAGTAATAATATTATTTTTGATGACCAGAAGTCAAGAATTATTGAACTTGTTGAATATGGTATTGAACATTTAGAATATCAAAATAAAAATTCATATTATTTAATGAATATAATGTTACGATTGATCAAAATATTACAAGAACCAAGTGAATGGAAATTTGACGTTATGGAGTTTATTCAAAGTATTGAAAGTAACATAGGACAAGACCCTCTCTTGTTAATCCGAATTTTCCATAATGAGTCATATGACAAAACTCCTGTAATAAACCATAAGTCAGAGTCTAGTATACCAAATATTTCTATGGTTACTGTAAAAAGGATTATTGAAAGAATTGAAAACATTGATCAAACTATTCAAAAATGTCAATTCCAAATGGAAAAATACATAGAAATAATGAATATTAGAGCAGCATATTTCGATATAGTTTATTTTACTGTTGTATCTAGACTTAACCAAATAAAAGAAAATGAAATTTACGAAATAATAAAAAGGCTCATGAAGATTAGATTAAGTCCATATATTGTAATTACTTCAATTGTTAAAGAAACTGATCAATTGTTAAGTTCATTAAATGTTATTAATGAAATGAAAGACATAAAAGCAAATTTAAATGAAGCACTTATTCAAAGTTGTAAAGAACAACGGATTATTAAAAATATTCCAATAGAAAGTGTAAAAGAAGACTTTAAAGTTATGGTTCCATTTTCAATGAAATCCAAAACCACCAAAATAGATGTTATTAAAACAACCCAAGAATACATTCAAGAACAACAAAGTAATTTAATAAATGATACAATTGTTAAAATTATTAAACACCAACAAAAATTATCTACTGAGTCTAATGATGAAAAGAAAGTAAGTGAAGTTGATGATTTTGGATTGGAAAGTTTGTTTGATTTGACAAGTGAAGGATATGAACAAACCTCTAGCCATCAAAATGAACAACTTAATCATGAAGACTCTACAGAAGCACATAGACAAGTAAATGACCTAGAAAATCATGACAGAACAGATAGTAGTGATGATAGCCATGAACAACATGAACATTTAAATGGTTATGAATCTAGTCAGAATAATGACAATATTCACCAAAGACTAAGTGAAGCAGCACAAAGTATTGCCCAGCAAATTCAACGCTTAGAAGAACATAGAGGCGAGGATGAATTATTACAAAACGATAACTCCATGTACATGTTTGATTTTGGTGAAGGAGAACACCAAAACATACCAAATAACTCACAAACAGGGATACACTCTCGTATTACTAACCAACAAGAACAACCAAGCCAAATGGAAGTTAACCAAAATGAACAACCAGCTCAAGAGAACCAAGTGCCACAATCTCAAGAACAAACAAATCAAAATGAAGTACCACAACAACCTAACCAAGAAGATTTTATAATGCCTGGTACTGATTTATTTAGTTCGGATGAAAGCCAAGAAACACAAGAACAAGAAGAGGTGCAGAATGAAGAAATACAACAAAATGAACAAGAACAAAACGAACGTTTGTTCAATGGAAGACCATTACCTCCTGATATTGATGCAACTACATTCTTCTCACTTCCTATTAACCTTCAAGAAGAAATCATTGAGGAATATAACCAACAACACCCAGAGTCACAAAACCAAAATAATACAACAAACCAACAAACTCAACAAAATGCACAACAACAAGACAATACAATCGATTTTATTTATGATTTAGATCCTGTACTAAGAGAAGATATTCTTAGAAACGCTGATGAGGCAATGTTACAATTATTACCTGAAGACCTTCGCACAGAGGCAAGAGAATTACAAAGAGAAGGTGCAAGGTATGGACCATTTACTGATGGGGGTATTGTCTCTGATGATTCTGGTGATAGTGAGTTGGACAGTGAAGATTACAACGATCATTACAATGTATTAAAAGTACCAAATGAGGATATTGAAGCAAGTTATGGTGTTGAGGCTATTGTTCCATTAACGAAATTATTCATTGCCAATAATTATGTTCTTTCAAATATTGCATTAAATAAATTAATTTGTTTAATGAATTACTATAACTCACAACAATCTATAAAGTATTTTGAAATTGTTACATTAATTTACCAACACATTATTTTGCCAGGTGTTGAAGGAGAACTTGATATAATTTCATTAGAAAAAGTTTTAAAGTTAGTGCTATTAACACTATATCATAGAAAAAAATATTCTATAACATCAACTGACTTTTTCTATTTAATCCAACCGATTGTAGCACATATTTTTGAAGAAAAAACTGAATTACCTATCTTTATTCAACATTTAATTGCTGCTACTTTTAGTGAATTGTTAATTAACATTAATACATCAACACAATTAACAAATTATATTGTATTTAAAAAACTTGCATTTGAACGATTTGTCAATGCATTGAACAAACAATATGGTATATTTTCTGAAAGTGCTATCAAACAAACAGTTTTATTATTATTTACTAACACAGGAATGATTGATACTATCAAATCAACAATTATTGACCAATATAATTTCTTATTAAAAGGTATATTTACACACGAAGACCTTGACGTCATTTTATCTTTTTGTTTATGTATAAATGCAACAATTGATCAAAATATTAAAAATGGCCTTCCTTTAATTAGTTCCTTTACTGAGCTGTTTACAGAACAATCATTAAAAACATTAGATGACTTAATTAAAAAGTATAGAAACATGAGGAAAATATTATTAGAAATAGCATATTGCTATTTGAATTTCTGTATTGCAGCCAAACCAAATTTATTAAAAACTTTCAAGTCAATTGATATGTTCTTGGATAAATACAAAGAAATGGTAGAAAAAATTATTCGAATAGAACCACAATTACTAAAAACATCGTTCAATTTATTGTCTAGATATCCCAAATATTTGACGTTTGAAGCCAAAGCACAAATTTTTAGAAAACAAATAAAGAAAGAGCAAAAAAGACATTCAAGAAGAGGATTTTATATTTCAGTTCATAGAAATAATATCTTCCAAGAAAGTTATTCACAATTGATGTTTGCTACAAATGATGATTTGAAAGGAAGGTTAAAAGTTAAATTTGTTGGAGAGCAAGGAATTGATATGGGTGGATTAAGAAAAGAATGGCTTCGAGTTATTGCTACCTCAATGTTTAATGCTGATTATTTATTATTTATGCCAACCGATGATGGTCACTTCCAACCAAATCCAATGTCAGCAGTATTTGGAGATATTGAATTATATAAATTTATTGGAAGGGTTGTAGCAAAAACTGTTTATGATGGAGAGTTCCTTGATGTTAATTTTACAAAAAGTATGTACAAAGCATTATTACAACAAGAAGTTACTTTAAGTGATATGGAAAGTGTAGACCAACAATTTTATAAAAATCTTAAATGGTTATTAGAAAATAATGTTGAAGGATTAGAAATGAAGTTTTGTTATGAAAGAGAAGAGTTTGGAAAAACAATTATTGATGATTTAATTCCCAATGGAAGAAATATTGATGTTACTGATAAAAATAAACAAGTTTATGTAAAGCTATTGGTTGATTATAAATTAAATAAATCTGTTAAAAAACAGATAGACTTATTCAAAGAAGGGTTCTATTCTATTATTCCATTTGAAATGATTAGTTGTTTCTATGACACAGAATTAGAACTTCTTATTTCTGGAATGCCTGATATAGATACTGAAGATTTTATGGCAAATACTGAATATAGAGGATATACTCTTCAAAGCCCTGTTATTCAATGGTTCTGGGAAATATTTAATGAAATGGAACAAAGACAAAAAGTTTTATTATTACAATTTGTTACTGGATCATCAAAAGTACCTTTAGGAGGTTTTAAAAATTTGATGGGAAATGGAGGTAAAATGCCATTTACTATTCAAAGAATTTCATGTAGCGAAAAATTACCAGTTGCTCATACCTGCTTTAATACAATTGATATACCAGAGTATCAAACATTAGATGTTTTAAAAGATAAATTATTAATGGCTATTTCTGAATGTAACCAAGGATTTGGAATGGCTTAAATATCATTCAATTCTATTTCTTTTTTATTGTTTTATTTATATGAATAAATAATTAATAAAAATAATAAAAAGTATTAAATGATTATTTCTTATCTTTCTTTACTACTGGTTTTTTAACACCAACTTTTGCAGTTTTCTTTTGTTCTTTTTGTAATTGTTCTTTCTTTAATTGAACTAATATTTTTCCAACTTCATCATTTTCTTTTTCTAAGTCTTCTGCCATTTCCTTAAAGACTTCTTTATAATCACCTTCTTTTGGTTCGTTTAGTGTTTTTAGTTTTGGATCTTCTTGTCCAAATCCTTCTTCACTTTTCAAATAAGGAGCCCATTTATGTAAATCGACAATTTGTCTTCTCAAATTTTCTTCTAATGGTTGAATATTTAAATACAATTTTTGTAATTCTCCTGCTTTTTCTAAATCTTTCTTATCTTCATCACAATCATCTTGTGCTGTTTGAACTGTTTTCTTTAATACACTAACTTCTTCTTCTAATTCTTCTATTTCTTCAACTAAATCAGTCTTCTTATCTCCTAATTCGGCTGACCTTTTATTTTCTTCTACAAATTTACTTGCCATTGATTCTCCTTCTTTTTCTTTCATTTCAGCTAATTGTTTCTTTCTTTCTTCTACCATTTTTCTAATTTCTTCTATTTCTTTAGTTAAATCATTAATTTCTTCTTTATCATCTTCTCCAACTGCTGTAAAGTTTTCATATTTTTCAGTTAATTGATTAAATAATACTTCTGCTGCTTTTAAATTAACTTCACTATCATTCTTTTCTAAATCAATTTTACCAAATGACTCTTTCTTTTCAACAAGAGTTTGATCTAATTCAACTCCTTTCTTTTGTAAGTCAGTTAATACTAATCGCTTTTCAACTAATTGTTTCTCCATATCATTAAGTTCATTAGTAAGTGTTTCATGTTGAGTTTTTAATTCAACATTCAATTTAATTAAATCATCTTTAGATTTTGCTTCAAGTTCAAGTTGTGCTTGATTTTTCTCTACATCTCCTTGTAATGCTTCCATTTCTTTTCTTTTAAGATATTCATGATGATATAATGAAGTATAAAGTACTAATGCACGCTCATCAATATCTCCATTAGCTACTTCATCAACCATCAATAATCTATGAATACCATTCTCTTCAGCAACACTAAAGGCTTTTTCAAGAATTTCAGTTCTTGATTTATCTTTAAATTCATCATAGTCAAATGATTTATTACTAATAACATGGGCTAATGCTAAATACACTTTACCATCATTAAAAGAATGTTTGAAATTTTCTACAGTAACTCCATATCCATCAGTAACTTCTTTTACCCATTCTAAAAGTGCATCTTCTTCCTTCATACTTTTTCCTTTCTTTTTATCAACTAATACACTTAGTCTATATTTTCTATATAATGTATAAAGAAGACCTAAAATTAATTTAACTCCATGAATATCTGCATCAACTACATCTTCTGCAAAACATCCTGGATTTCTTACTAACATTTCTTTTTCAAGAAATTGCATTGCTAAATGTAAATTATGAACCATTTGAATACGATTCTTTGGTCTTAAATCATATTTTTCTTTTAATGTCTTTCCTGAAAGTAATTCAAAGAAGTTAATGACTCGAATTCCATCTTTAAGATCAACAGCTAAATCTTTTACTCCCATTTGTCTTTGTTGAAGTACTTCATCCATCCATAATGTGAATAATTGAATTTGGACTCTAACCCATCCTGCTTCTTTATTATTTCCTTGTTGTTGACTCATTTCTCTTTTCGTTTGGTTTTGATTTCCTCTTTTCAAGTTCTTTATCTTTATCAACTTCCTTCTCTTCTTATTTCCTTCCTATTCCCGTTTTTTCCCATTTTTTTGCTCTCTTTTTTTCGTTATTTTTACAAAATCCTTTTTTATCTTTTTTGGTGTTTAATAGTTTTTATTAGTTCTTTTACTATTCATCTCAAGTTTAATTTTGAAGTTTATTTTGTAGTTTTTAATCAAAGGAAACAAAGATATTTAGATTCCATTAAAGATAAATAAAACTTTTCTGTATAAAAACAAAAAAAGAAAAGAGAAAAACATAATTAATATAAATCAAACAATCGTTTGAACTCATGATTATCAACTCCACATACCCACAAAGTCATATCTTCTTTTGACATAGACCTAGCCATAGACTCAATCTGACGAAGTACACATAAATCATTAAATTTTCTTAATGGACTTCTAAAAGAAGCATAAATACCATGTGAGCTTTTTTTAATCAAAGCAACATCTCCATAGACTTGTTGAAGATGACATCCTAAACGCCTATTAAAGTCGTTACCAAACTTATGAATTACACCTTCTCCAATACTAGTATTTTGTTCTCCATTATCAATATATTTTTCTCCATACAATAACTTACCACACTTAATAATGGTATCAATGTATGACTTTAATTTATCCAATGTTAAACCATATAGTTTTAATTGTTGAATATTATTTATATTACCTTTTGAAATTAAATCAAATTCTTCAAATGTTAATTGTGCTTTAATAAGAATTATTGTTTTTCCATATTGAATATGTACAATTTCCTTTTTTGTTAAGTCTATGTCAAAAATAATAGAAAAGGCTTTACTTTTCTTTCCAAGTCTTAATGAGTTTGATTCTAAAAATTGATAATTAAATAATCTGGATCTTCCTCCTATCCCTTTTCTTAATTTTCTTGCACGTTCAAACTCTTCTCCAAATATATCAATTTCATCAGAATAATCAGTACAATGAATACCAATTTCTAAATGATTATTTTCTTTTAATGAAAAATGAATAGCATCATCCAAAAAGGAAGTTTTTGTAGAGTCAATAGTAATAATATCTTTTGAAGTTATATTAATTCTTGGTAGATTTGGATATTTAAGCATTATTTCATTTATTATTGATTTTTTTCTTTCTAAAGTATTAATTTGATTAGTTGGTATTACTCTATTATAAGGTATATTTGGTTTTTCGTTCTTTACTTGTGGAATAAACAATTTATCTTTTCTATTATATGTTCCAATTACTCGTTTTGTACCTTTTTCTTTTGTTTGGATAATTGGAAGATTATCATCATCTGGATAAAAGAGTTCACATTCAATAATTCCAGTAACACCTTCAATATCAGTTGGATTATTAATTGAAAGTACTTCTCCAACAGGAATTAATCTTAAATTTTGAAATATTCTTTCTTCTTTAATTGCTTCTTGAGTAACATCACTTTCATCCAATTTATTTTGTATTAAATAATTCATTACATTCCCTCTTTGGTTAAAGAATTTTTTTATTTCATTAATACCTAAAATATTTTCTGAGAAATTAACAATTGAAGTAGTCCATTTGTATAAAGGAAATATATTTATTTTAACTATATCATCTTGTAATGAAAAATTTCGATTTTTTTCTGGAATGAATACATCATAATCAAATTCATCAATAGAACATGAACAAAAGACAAAATGTTGAATTACTTTAATTTTTCCATAAGTAACAAACATAAAATACTAAAAATAATGTTTTAAAGTTAATAAATTTTTATTTTATAAAAATACTTTTAAAATGACTTTTAAATTTTTTTAATATTTATTAAAAAAATTAAATTTTAATTATTATTTAAAATGATTGAAATTCTTCTAAACGTTTTCTGTTTATTATTGACTGATAAGTAACATAAATTCCTAATGGTATTAATACTACACCAGCAATACATACAACAACTAATACAACATTTCTTGCAATTCTATTTGTCATATTAGCATAATCATTTGAAGTCATAATAGATACAACATTACTAGTTTTCTTTTGTGTTTTAAGAGTTGAAGGTCTTGTAAAATTTAATCCAAATCCTTTTTTATTTTTCCAACCAACTTTATTATTTTTATTATTTTTCTTTGCAATAACCATAAGTTCTTTTAAAGTAACTTTTTTATTTGTTTGTGTATTTTTATTAATATTAATAGGTTGATTATAGTTATATGATTTAGGAATACCATTTGGTTGATATGTTAATTTATTTTGTTTATGAATCATATTAATTTGTATTGGTTTATTTTTACGAATTAATTCCATTCTTTTTATTGCATCATTTGATAAATAATTTATATGTGGAACTTTACCATATTTTCCTAATTCACTATTTAATTGATTAACATAATTTTGTACTCCAGAAGATAATACCTCTATTGTGTCTAAATCAGTTAGACTTAATTTTGCTTTACCAATTGTATGTTTAATTGGTGTTGTTTTAATTTTAATCCATTCAGTTGTTATAAATGTATTTTTTCCATCTTTAGCAAATGACGCAATATAAACTGATTGTTGTGGTGTTAACATAAATTGAACTACTGGTTCAACTCTTGTTTTATTTGCAAGACAATGAACATCATTTGGTAATGTTGGACATTTTTCATTTACAGCAATATGAATTGGTACTTTTTTTTCAAATCTTTTTTTTGAATAATATTTCATTTGTACTTTAAGGATTTGTGGTGTTTTATTGACTATATTTATCCATGCTGCAAGTTGTTGATGATTATTACATCCAATAGCCCCAACTCTTCTATCTTTTCCATACATTAATTGAAATATACTTTCTGATTTTTCTTTAGTAATAGTAAATACTCTACTATTATTACATATTGTAGCAGTACATAAGTAAATAAAAAATAGAAAACTGCTTATTTTCATAGCAGAATAAAAAGTAATTTTCAAAGATTCCTTTTATTTTTAAGTTTTTATTCCTTTCTTTTAAATTTATTTTTTATTTTTACTATAATTTTATTATAAAATTACCATAATTATCTAATATATCGTAAAAATGAATTTATTATTGTTGTACGCAAGGGAGTGATGCTTTATCGTCAATAATTCTATCACCACATTCATTAGCATAGTCAAATTCTTTAATAGAGCTCCAACTTAAATTTTTCATATCTTTTATTTGAACAATAGAATCATCAAACCAACGCATTTTATTTGTGACGCATTCTTTAGCTAATATATAGAAATAAATAAATTGTTTGTCTTTATTGTCTGTGTTAAATACAGAAAAAAAATTTGTTTTTTGAGACAAATCTCCTTCTTCAAGTTCAATTTTATTTTTCCAAATATTATCATTAATAATTGAAACATTTGGTTCAGTAATTTGATTAATAGGAAATTCTTTAGGTAATACATAGGTTAATTCAATTGAAGCACCATTAGAAATATATTCATTTTCATTGTATTGGAATATAATTTGATATTTTACTTGAAATCCATTTTGTGTAATGCTTAATGGTTTTTTTATAACATCGATATTTTTAATAAACTCAATAATAGGATATTCTTTTGTATTTGGTGTAAAATATGGTAATCGTTTGATAATCCTTCCCCAAAAACATGGAATACCTTTAAATTTTGCAGTATTACAAGGTGTATTCCATCGGTCAACAACAAATTTCATTTGTTCTGGGATAGACAATTCTTTCTTTCCTTCAATCCACAACATCATTTCTTCATTACTTTTCCTTTCTTGGTCTTTTAAAATAAGTTCTTCAGAACTACAAACTCGATAATAATCAAAGATATTTTTTGACGACTCTTTTTGTAAATATCGAAGTGCATGGAGATTTTTATGTACTTGAGAACTTGTAATACTTAAATATGTTTTATATTTTACAGATGAAATATCTGTCTCTTCATTTGGTGAGATAGTTTCAGAATCTTCTGAACTATCATCTATATCCATCATTTTTATCATATCAATACAACTCATAGTCTGAGCCATTATTTTCTTAGAAACACAGTTCCTCTTTTGTTTTTTTTTTCTTTTTTAATTTCTTATTTTCTTTTATCATTCCTTTTTGTGTTATTATTTTTTTTTGTTTTTCACTTTTTCATATTATGTTTTTTCATTCTAAAAATCATTCAATCTTTTATTTCTTCTGTTTTTTTTATAAATTTGACTTATTTGTATAAAATTATTAATTTAAATGAACATCATAAATGAAGATAGTAAAAATAATTTTTTTTTGATTATTTTATCAGTTATTACTTGATAAAAATGAAAATAATTTTGTATTTGAATCTTGATTATCCATTATTTCTTTACAGTATTTCTTTTAAAAGAGTATTACAGTTACACACTTTTGGTTAATAAAAAAAATAAGTTTAAATTAAGAATTAGTTATTCTAACTGAAGAAAAGAATCAAAATTTAAGTATATTAGTAGTAGATATTTTTGTCAAAAGAAAAGAAAAACAGAAAAAAATTTTTGAAATTTAAAAACAAAATCAATATAAATAAATAGAACTGATAAAATAAATAACATAAATTAATTTTTTTAAATAATAATTTTAAATAAATTCTTTATACTTCAGTTGTTAAATATAGAAATTTAAAAGACAAACAAGACTATTTTATTTATTAAAGAAATTTATACTAAAAGTAGGTTATTGTCAATATAAAGAAAAAAAGTTATAAGATAATATCATAAAAGGAATAGATAAGAATAAGACTATTTCAAATAGTAGTAAGTACTTCCTCTAAAATATTAGGAACATAATCAAAATACTTTTTGAACTATTTTCAATTTTTTTCTCAAGCAAGTGAATTTAGTTAGTATTATCGAATTTTTACCGATGTTTTTATCTTTTTCCTTTTCAAAAACTCTTTTCAGACTAAAAATAAAGAGAAATATTCTAAAGATGGCGTTGTTATTTCTATAACAATAATAAAGAAAGTGTTTTTGTAAAAAATTTGTTTATTTTTAATAAAGTTAATCATGGATATAAACTTGACATTATCAAATATTTCTATAAAATGTTATAAACCCCAAATTTTGTTCTCGCATCTTTGGAAAAAAACCCTTAAAAAAAATGCAGGGGTATTTAAGACTAGAATTTTGTGAGAAGAATTTAAGAACTATCGCAAACTTTTAAAAATAGGATGAGTTTTCAGGTTTTGCGAAAAAAGAATCAAATATGAAGAAAAAGAATTGGGAGCAAAAGGCTGATTAATAAGGAATATTAAAAAACTACAAAAGAAATTGAAACAAAAAATGAATAAATTTCATGCTACTGAGAAAATAAAAAACTATAATAATAGTAAAGAAAATGAAAGAAGATAAGTTATTTCTTTGCTTGGGAAAAACAGAATCGTTTCAGCTCCTTTCATAAGTTAATTTTTTAAGTAAAGCTTTTATTTATAAAGAAGGAATTAAAAATTGAGACAATTGAACCTTTGCTAAACTAGTAAAAAGAAAAAATTAAAACTTATAAAAGAAGTGCGAAAATTCGTTTACAATGCAATACCAACTGCAAGTCCAAGAAATTACTCCATTACAAAACGCTTTTATGGACGTTGTTATTTTGGTGGGAACACCTCCTAATACTCAACAACAATTAGATATCAAATTACCTGCTTCTGCTACTTTAACAGATTTTTTTAAGACTATCCAAAGTGAAATGGCAGAAAAGAAATTAATTCCATCTCAATTTGCTATTCAATACAAACAATATGACTCAGTATGTCAAGTTCCTGTTTTTGCTCTTTTAGAACAATTCTCAACAATAGAAATTATGACAGAAGAATTATATAATAATGCTCAGACTGATCATCATATAGAAACTCCTATGGAAATTGAACCAACACAACCTTTAATAGAAAAAACTTATAACGTTTCTTGCCATCGTTGTAAGACACGTAAAAATGAATGTTTACGCTGTCCAATTAATCCAAAACATAAATTTTGTGAAGGGTGTATTACAAAATATACTACTCTTGATAAATTCTTAAGTGATGGTTGTCCTATTTGTCAAAATAAATGTCAATGTGCTTCATGTAAAAGAAAAGAATTGAAGCGTTTAGGAATAGAAGCACCTATTCCAAAGAGATGATGATGGTTTAACTTTTCAATTTATTATTTTGTGTTTATTTGAATGTTTTTTTGTGTTGAAATATCCTTATTCCTTTTTTCTTTGGTAATATTTTTAGGGGGTTGTCTTAATGGATTACAATGGATTTTTGAAATGAGAATAATAATTTAGATCAACCAAATGTAATTTAAAGTAATAAACAATAATGCTAAATTAAATATTTATGAAATAATAAATGATATACTCATAATTATAAAGATGTTTTGATTAAGACTAACAAGAAACTGACTCATTAAAACTTTAATAAAAGAGAAAATTTAGTGTTATTAAATAAATACAGAAAATGCTGAACGAAAATAAGAGAGTGTTGACTTGACCAATGAACTTTATATATTGTTTAGTGAAAAGAGACTAACACTTTTATACTTCTTATTTGTTTAAGATAAGAAAAATGATTATTTTGATCACAAATATATTGATTATTACCTCAACTTTAATTCTTATAAATGGACAATTGTTTAAAGATTTATTTTTTTATATTTTATTCTATGTATTTTTTTTGTTTGAATGAATTGTTTTTATGAGAAAATGAATTTGTCGTAATATTTATCAATAATTGGTTTATATTCATTGAACATAAACAATTCAACTTTGTCATTAATTACAATAATCTAAGAATAGCCTCATTATTTCTTGTTTGTTTTTTTTTTATTTTGTTATATATTAATTGTTTATTATTTTAAGGTATAGATTTGTTTGGTACTTAAAAAGTAGTGTATTTTATTATTTTTATTGTTAATGAATTATTTGTTCATCTTTGAACCTTTTTTTCATTACTTTTTAATCTCTTTATTTTTCTAAAAATAGTCTACTATTTCAGAAATAGAATTGACTAATTAAATATTCATTAATATGTTTTATTCAAATAAAGGAGATTATTTATAATAATAGGAAAATTTGATGTTAGATTTGTTTAGATACTACCACATTGTTTTGATAGTATAATAGTAAGTTTAATTATTGATTATTGTTATGTTTTAATATTTCCAAACAAATTCATTAAAATAAAATTTCTTAAATTATTTAATTTGAGTCTAATGAATGAGTTTATCTTTTTTTGATTTTATAATCAACAACAATTTAATATTGTCAATTTTTTATTCTTTCACACATTAGATTCTAATTTTAATTATTTTAATTATTTTTTTTATAAGTTAAATATTTTTAATACTTGATAACACTCTAACTTTTAATAAAATAATTTCTTTTATTGGTAAATGTCATTTCTTTTTGTTATTTGTTATTGAGAAAAAGCATTTTTAAATGTTATTTATAATATTATATTAGGTGTTGACATTATCACATCTTTTTATAATATTTTTTTAACTAAAATGTTAACTTTAATTAAATTCTAATAACAAAAGATATTTTATTATAATAAATGATATATGGTATGGTTTGTATATTTTTAATACTCAAGAAACAGTTATATTCTTAGTATTTTATAATATAATATTTTCTAAATAAACATAAAATTTCATAGAGAATGATGCTCATGTAATTTTATTTATATTTACATATTTCAATATGTTGTTTGAAATGAATTTCTCATTCTCTCTGATAGTAATAAAACAAGCACCTATTAATGTTCTAATGAATATATACAAATTAACATATTTCTAATCCATCTTCTATCAATTTTTAGAAGTATAATAACAAAAAAAGAAAGTTATAAGAATCTAAAGATTTATCTAACATTTTTATCTTAATAGCAATCCTTTAAATCAATTTTGCAACAGAAATAATTCGAATGACATTGATACATATTATTAACTTTTTTAACAAAAATTATAAACAATTAACCATTATGAATTGTTTTGTTTATTATAGATTTAAATTTATTAGACTCAATAAAAAAAAACAAGAATTTATTATTAAATATTCATTGCTTCTTCTTTTGATTTATTTTTATATTTTGTTATAATATCTTCTTAAAAATTCCAAATAAACATTGATTATAATGTGATATGTTAAATATTATTTTGTATAAGGCTAAACAATAATTATCTAAGAAAAATTAAAAAATTCTTGTTTCAATAAAAAAATGAATTTCTTTTTTGACAGTTATGAGTTGTTGAAAGTTTATTCATTTAGAACCTTCTCAATAAGATAATGACATCAAAGATACCAAATATTCACGAGAGATTGTATATTATAGGAAAGTGATAAGTAATAAGACTAACAAAGAATCTATAAAATCATAATAGATGCTTGTTAGAGTTGCTTCACGTATAGAATCAGAAGATAGAGCAAAAGCCAGTAAATTTATAAAAGTGAATCAAGAATTACGGAGTCAATTTGGATTAAGTGAAAATGAAGATGTAGTACAAAATTATAAAGGTGTTTATAAATCAGGAAATACTAATGTAAAAGGAACATTATTTTTAACACAAAATTACTTTTGTTTTAGATCTTCTTCTGGGAAAAAATATTTATTAAAATTCAAATATCAGATATAAAAGATATGAATAATCAAATAATGTTATTAGATGTCCAAGGTAGAAGATATGAGTTTTATCCAACGTTTAATAAAGAAGAATGTTATAATCTAATGCATTATCTTTTTCAATTTCCATTTGCATTACTTGATTTGAATATATATAAACACCATACTGAAATATCATCTGAGCATTTAGACCAAGAAACTAAGTTTGATATTCAAACTGCACAAGAGGCATTAGATACTGCAGAAGATATGAGAAAAATAAAATTAGATTCTTATCAAATGTTAGAGAGTCAACAAAGGAAAATTGCAATGATTGATCAATTACTTAATCAAACGGATGTTTATCTTGGTGAAATAGAAGAAAGTATTAAAGCAACGACATCTTTAGTTTATGAATTAAAATTAAGATATACTAAAAAAAAAGGTAAAACCTGCACCACGACAAGAAACACCAATTCTTCAACAACAAATAATTCAAAATCCACCTCAAAAAGTTGAAATTAATATTATATGGAAATTAGAAGGAGATAATTTAATTCCTGCTATAATGACAATATATGATGATAAAGTTGTTTTAGAAGAAACAAGTAATGAAAAAAAGAAACTTTTAACAAGAGAATTTGCTATTGTTGATATGATTGGATTATTTATGAGATCAAGACCATTACATATGAATATTGCATTAAATCATAATTCAAAAGAAAAAGGAAGAGTTAGAATTGTTAGTGTTTCATTACAATTTATTTGCAATGAACTGTATATAAGATATTTAAAATTAACTAATGAGCAATTAGGTGTTATTTTTGAACCTAATTCTCGTGTATTTGATTATGGAGATACATTAATTACCAAAACATTTATGAATTGTGGTCCTATTAAAGGACAAATTAAATTTGAACAAGATGAAGACTTTGCATTAAATTTACTTACTGGTAAAGATCGTGAAGACTATCTTGCCTTAAAGAAAACGAATCAAAATACATTAAATATTCTTGATGAATGTGATAAATTAGGTCAAAAGACAATTCAAATGGCTGAAGATTCTGCTAAAGCTATTGAATCAGTTAGTTTAAGAATGAAAGCACAAAAAGAGTTAATGAATACATATAAACAAAAGAGTGATCAAATACTTAAATGGAAGAGAAATAAACTTTCATAAGTTCAGTTCAATTATTTTTATTATTTTCACACAACATTTTATAAATAGAAAAGAATAAACAAAAATAGAAAAATAAATTTTTTTTTTTAAAAGAAAAAATAAATATTTAAGTTCTTTCAATGGACAATAACATGTCTCGTTCAACTCCTCTTAAAGCAAGTCCTAGATTCTCTGATGATCTAGAAGATGAATATAGTGAAGAAGATGAATATAGTATTTCTTCTGATTATACTTCATCAACAGATGATGATGAAAAAGAAATGGAAACATCAGAACTTCTTGAATCATGGAGTGAAGCAATGAAAAAACTAAAATTTATGGTTGAGCTATACTCTAAAGAAAAAGAAGAAAACACTAAATTAACAGAACATATTAATAAAATGGCTACTGCTATTAATGAAATGAAAGTAGAAATTGCTTCATTAGTACAAAGTCAAACAAAAGCAATAAATGATTTAATGATGGAAAAAAAAAGCCATGCAGCAACATTAAAAAAATTAGAAATGTGTGAAACACATGAAAATGAAAAACCTTTTAATGGAACATTAAGATGTAATTGTGAAATAGTAATTTCTAATGGAGAAGTTGAAAATATTATCATTGTTAAAGACGATGAAAAAAGATGGAAAGAAATAGAAATTCAAAAAGAATATCTAATGAAAAGAGTTGTTGAATTAACACAACAAAATGCTCTTATTAATGAAGAATATGAAGACCTTAAAATTAATTTTGATATGAAAAAAAATAATATGGAAAATGAACTTAATAACATTCAACAATCTGCTAGAGAAAGAGAAGTTAGTTTAGTTAATAATCAAGAAATGTATAAGTCTGTTGCTCTTCAATTTTTAACTCGTGAATTACCTTTATTTAAAAAAAATATTGAATCTATTGACATTATTCAAAAAGATATCAAATTAAAAACAGAATTTGCATCATTTATTATGAATAGATATGGTATTAATGTAATTGATGTCTTAAATGGTGAAAAAAGTATTACTAAAATTCAAATGATTCCTCTTAAATTCCGTAAACAAAAAAGTTCTGTTACTCGTCAAAAAACAATTAAATTAGCTCGAATGAATACTTCATTATCAAGAAATGGAACAATTGATTTATCATCAATTGCTGATGAAGATATGATTGATGATAATAATGTTACTCCTGTTAAAGTTTCACAATTTTCAAAATTAAATGGTACAAATAATTGTACTAAAGAAGAACAACAATCTTCTATAATTACTCCACTCAAACCTCAAAAAGATAAAACTTCTATATTAAAAAGTCCTTCATTAGCAAGAACAAATACTGGAGTTCTTCCAAAAGAAACAACAAAAAAATTAAGAGCAAGTTGTTCACCAAAAGAAAAAGCTGAACTTAAATCAATTCAAAAATTATTGACTCGTTCAACAATCTCATTAGAGACAGCCACAAATGAATAAAATTTTATATTTAAATTTTCTTTTAAGTGTTTATTCAAGTAATTCTATAATTTTGTTTTTTTAATTATATATGAAAATTATATTTAAACCATTAAATAAAAAATACTAACCATTACCATTACTTTAATCAAACTTGTTTATACTCAATATTCTCAAATATAAAATAAATAAGAAGTATGATTTATAGCTTTTTAAAAAATAAAAATTATTAACTCAATTCTTTTTTTATTAAATTTTATTAATATTATTTCATTTTGTATTTTTGAAAATCTGTAAATAAAATAAAAAATCTGTTTTACTAAATAACACAATTATTTGCTTATTTTATTATTTTTGTGTTATTAATAGTTATGATTCAAACTTGGAAATTCATTTCAGTTAAACTCAACATGTTCCCACAAATGAAAAATCCTACACAAGATAAACCAAGAGGAAGAAAAGAGTGTAGGTGTTATGGAACTGTTCATAAAGCAATTGGAAATTGTCTTTCTTGTGGAAGAATTCATTGTTCTGAAGAAGGACCAGGTAAATGTTTATACTGTGGAGAGAGATTAGAAATTATAAGAAAGAATGAGGGTTATGATGAAGCACAAGAACGTATGGATATGTTATTATATTTTCAAGAAACACAAGCTCAAAGAACAATAGTAAGAGATATGTCAGGTGAAGATCCATTAAAATTGGATTATTGGATAAAAGGAAAAAAAAAGAGTACAAAGAAAGAATTAAAGAAAACTAATAAGAGAATAAATCACAGAGTTCAATACGAAGATGTAGATCCAAACCAATTTGATTTTGTTCAAGAAGATGATATTGGAACATCAGAAATGTATCAACTAAATGAAAAACCTAAAGTTGATTTAAGAGTTGAAGATACTGATTATGATGATGATTAAACATATTGAAAAAAAAAAGTATAAAGAAAAACCAAGAGCATTATAATTTAAAGTTGTTATAATTTATAAATCTATTTTTCTTTTCCAAAGAGAGCTAAGCCAAGAGGAAGAAGCAATGCACCCCAATAGAAAGCTGATGTAATGTAATGAGTTATTAAATTATCTTCTTGAGAAAGAGGAGTATTGTCTATTTGTTCTGAAAAATTTTCTAATTCAATAGGAGGTGTAACCAAACTTTCTGTTATTGCTTCTATGTCAGGAACAAAAAGCATTGGCTTTTGTTGAACAATACCAATAACTGAATCACATCGAGAACACCTCATTTCAAGAACTGGTAATGCAACACGTAAAGACTCTTTAAACACTATATTTTCACATTTAGAAAATTGTAGTGGTGAGTTTAATACTACATCTTCTTTTCTAAAAAGTAAATTGTGACACTGTTTGCAATGAAATGTCATTTTTTTTCTTTTTAAGTTCTTGCAAAAATAAATCAATACTCTTGGAAAAATACTTCAGCCTTCTTTTAATTTTTAATTCAACTTGTTTTTATTATCTTAATCAATTCATTTGTAGTTTTGTTCATTCTTCAACAACTAAATCACCTCTCCTTATAACTTTATTGGAATGTATCTCAATTGAAGATTCAAACATACTTAAACTTATTAGTTCAATTAACAAATTTATTTCTTTGACTTAATAAAAACAAAGAATGACCCAACTCATTGACTTGTTTAATTTAGTATATTTTTGGTTTCTTTATACTTAAATATATTAGTTAAAATATTTGAATTGAGAATTATTTAGAATCGTATTATTCATTTACCAAATTGTTCCAAAACATTATAACTGTTAATACATTATCTTCATTTACATTTATATTTCATATCAACACAAATCATTTAAATATAACTTCTTTTATTGGATTTAATTTCAAATTCATTATATTAGTTTTATACTTAATACATTCTTCCTTTTTTCTTTTAATATATTTGTGAGGTTATAACGATCAAATAAAAACTTCCTTAGTGTTAATTTCGAAGAAATTCTCTTACTCCAAACTTCATTTAGTTTATTACTTATAACTATATAATCAAAATTGTATAAAAAATCACGTTGACAAACATCACATGATAATGTTTTAGAATGTTGTACTTGTTGAACAGAAATAAAGATAAATTAATTATTCAATAAATTTAATATTCCTTTTAGAGTCTCTTACTCCATATTCTCTATATTTATTTTCTTCATTCAAACTATTGAAATAATTATAATAGATTCTATAATAACAATTCAAATAATACCACCTTATGTTTATAGTCATAATTGGAATGAACTAGATATAATGTAACTTTCTTTTGTATAATAGTTTAAGTGTCTTTGACATAACTCTAAAAACATGTTATAAAAATAAATTTATCTTTCAATTCTTTTAAAAATTCAACTTCTTCTTATAGTTCTATTGGTTTTACTTTTCAATCCATTATTATAATAAATACACCATTATTTATTTAAAAAAAAAACAAATTCCTATTATCAAGAAAAAAGACATAAAACCAAACATAACATTTTTAAATAATTTCTAACTTTCACTCTTTCTTCTATTTCTAAAATCTATCTTATTACTTGTTCAATTCATTAGATTAAAAATAATTATTACACTTATTAAAACTTGAAAAACTTTTTTATTTGAATAATTATTATTTTCTTGTTGAACGTCTTTTTATTATCTTCAAAAAAAAAAGAATAATTTATGTACGTTATAATAATTTTATTCAATAATCTATTGTAATTGTTGTCATCAAAAATTAATCATCAGAATCATCATCGTCATAAGAATCGCGTTCTCGAGAAAACATTCCACCACTGAACTTTGGATGTCTCTTTTCTTTTGGGTCTGATTTCATTGTTGTCTCAACTGCACCAACACGAGATAATGCCCATTCAAGGTCATCACAAGTCATGTTATTTCCACCAAACTCAGCCAAACCAATAAACTGTTTAACATGGTTTGTGTTTCTATAAACAATTAAAGTAGGAAGAAGTTTATCAGGATAATCAGGAATTGCCAAATGACTTAAAATCTTAACAAATTTTGTACTTCTTTTCTTACGAGCTAATTCGTTCAACCTAGCACTCAAAATGTCACATCCTTCAATCCCATTTTTATATAACAAAACTACAACATAACATTCTTTGGATGCTTCAGTAACTTCTTGTTTATATTCACCAGCAGTAAGTTCAACTACTTCTTTATACTTATTTTTCTCCGCAATAGCTCTCATTTCTGCTAATCTTTTTTCTTTAATTCTTTGAAGTTCTTCATCACTATCGTCATCTTCTAGTAATTCATCAATCTCTTTTAATGATTTGTCTTCTTTGGCATTATGTTCGACAACAGGTGCCTCTTTATACAATATATTTCCTTCATCATAAAGTTTTTGTTCTTCTGGACTTAATGCTGCTTTATTAACTTTTGCAATAGCGTCTTGCCACTCTGTAGTTTCTCTTTTTCTTTCAATTCCATTAACAAGTTGTTTTTCTACTGATGATGTGTTCATTCTAAATTAACAGTTCACCTCTTTCAGTTTTTAATAAATACATTTTTACTATTCTTTTTATTATTTTTGTTAGAATATTTTTCCTAAAAATATATATTAGA